ATTTGAAAGACTCGTTAGATCTACAAAATGCTGTTTAAAAAAGATATTATCTAATTCAAGAATAATGTATGAAGAGTGGTAACCGTATTTCTTTAAGTAGAATACACTGTTAAAAGTTTCCGTTAAAAAAACAAAAATGTATTCCTTTATTTCAAGGGAAAGTATCTGTATGTCCATAGTCTTAAGAATGAATAGTCTGGAAATAAAGGCCGTTTCTACTGTTTTGCCGTTTTATGTTGAAACTCGTATCAACGACGCGCTGAAGGTGCACACAAAACTTTATTTAATATCATAGTCATTTAACTAGTCTGGAAACGCGGGCCGTTTTGTCAAAACACTTAAGTTCTGTATAAACATTGTATTTCGCTATAGACATATATAACATATATAAACATTGTATTTCGCTATAGATAAGTTACATATATTCTGGGATAAATATTGAAATGGCATGAACAAATTGTGATTTTTTTGGTTATTCAGCTATTCAAGTTAATATTTTGGATTGCATATATATTTCTTATTCTGAATAAAAATGATGAGTATAGCATAAAATAAAGACATCAACTGTTGATAAATGTAGTTATGTGACAGAGCTTGTAGTGGTACAAATATGCATATTCAACCATATAGCTTATATCGCATAAGCATTTAAGTTATATATTATATGAAAATATGTTATAAATGCAAACATTTCATCGACTGTATAACTTGATGGATTTATATGGGTATAAATGCTTTGTATTATATTCAGAGTATATTTATTCAATATGTTAGCTAATAAAGCTTAATAAACTCTATATTCTATATATAGTTTACTTAGCTGGATTAGTTGATAATTTATATATCACTCTTTACACTATGTAGGTATCTTTTCTGGAAACAAGAAAAAATCAGGTACAATTTTATCATTTTGAATGGTTTCAAGCTTAATTAGATGTTGGTATCTTTAAAGATATGTGTTATACCCTTAACACAGCATGTTTATCTACCTTAGAGAGAAAAATAAATCTAAATTATTACCTAAATTATAATAAAAATAATGATTTGTTGTTTAATTTTCTACCTTACAAAGAAAAAAATTTTTACCTTTGAAGATATAATTTTTTACCTTGGAAGGTAGAAGATTTTACTTTACTATGTGCATATTGCATATTCTAACCTATAGTAGAACTTCTACCTTTTTTACAAGTGCTATACTAACAATAAATGTTGTGCAAAAATGTTATTCTTTTTTTATTAATAAGAAAAAAACTTAATCAGTACAAAAAATTAGGATTTTAATAATTACTTTAAAAATAGCTCTTATATAAATTTTTGTTTTTATTATGCTGTATTGCAATATATAATAATAACAAATTAAAAAAATATACTTGATGCAATAAAGATGATGCAAAAGTCTGCTACTAAATATTGCATCACTTTCAAACATAAATTAAATTTAATTTAATTATAAAAAAATAAAGTGTATCAAAAGAAGATTACAGAATTTTATTTGAAATTCACAGTGTGTTAAATTAAGTTACAAATTTTTATTTCAAATCTTGATTTTAAGCTATAATTTAATATCTATTTTGTCGAATGCAGAAAAATAATATCTCAAAATCTAAGGTTATCTTCAATTCAAATAAGATTTTTCATGTTAATTATCTAGTTTCAAAGTCAGCTGCAGTGTATGATGATATACTTGACAAACTATATTTCTTAAAAGTTGTTGCTTGCAACTTGCGATGCTTATGCAAATCACAAGTTGTTGAAAAGGTATTTTAAAAAATTCCTTTATGCCTAATCCACCACATTAAAATAAGACAACTTGTTACTGTCTTATTTAAATATGACTTATCCAACTTAAAACATATGGAAAAAAAGATATATATAAGGATGGTTAGTTTATACAGTGGAACCATATTGCTTATATATTCTATAAAGACAGAGAATGTGGCCTTTGTATTTTACCTATAAGTTAAAATATTTTGTCAACTTTATATTTACATATAAAGTTGACAAAATATTTATTAAAAAGTGTTAACCTTGCTGCCTTAGTAATAAGTTTTTGCTGTATTAAAATTTTTATTACATTATGGAATAGCTTATTTGAAAATTACTTACGACACTAACAATCACTTAGTGCTGACAAGGGTAACCCATCATTTAATGACTTTCAATTATAACAAATAAAAATAAAAAATATTTTTAGTAGTTGGAAATGTAATGTATTTAGCTACACAGGTATTATAAAGTGGTAGTAATATAGTATTAAGTCATGCCAAAAAATATATATATATATATTATTAGATTTGTTCAAACTTAAATATTTTTTAGATATGTAAAATAGTAGTGTTGTCATTATTATTTTAAAATTAAAAAGACAAATATATTATTTTTATTATTCAATCTTCTATTGTTATTTTATTATAAAGTTACTACACCATAAAACTATTAAATATATAGGAAGCATTTATTGTACTACTCAAGGAGCTAATTATATACCAATACTATTTTCAAAAAATATATGGCTATGAAAATAGCCGTTTTAGTATTAAAAATTTAGGTTCAAGTCATCTCACTTTCTCTTTAATATTATTGTTCCGAAATAGAAGGTGTTTTTTAATTGATTTTCTTTATATATCAATTTAGTTTGACTTTTTTGAATTTTAAAAAGCTTTCAGGTTATATTTTGCAATATACTATCTACGAACTTGTATTTAAAATGTTAGATGTTCATGCATACTTAGCAGCAAGCTAATACAATAAACACTGCTCATTATATAACTTTGACATGTTAGATTTAAAACCAATTGTAAAATTAGATGTACCAAAAACATTCCCACTAAGTCACAATAGAATGTTTTTTTAGTAATGTAGAGGGATACATGCTCAAATGTTATAATATCATTGATAAAAGAGGTAGGATATTGATAAAGGAGGTAGGAGGTCAGATAAACAAAGACAAGACTTGCTACCTCAAAACACGAAAGAAATTGTTTTTTCAGAAAAAGTTTTTTAGAATCAATTCTACAAAATATTTTCTGAAAAAAATAATTTCTTTCATGTTTTGAAAGCATTTATGTTTTGAATGCTACTTCATGTTCTTTTATGTTTTAATCAGCGGTAAAAAATTTCGGCATTTCAATCAAATGAATCAGTTACATTTTTACTAGGAACTAAGCTGTAATGACTTCTTCTTGAAATAATTGAAATATTCATACTTGATTTTGAACTTTTAATGTCAGCTTGTAGCAAAGTACCATTTATCTGAAGCAAGCTTTACTGCATTCTTGATTAAATAATTATAAAATCTAATAGGATGAAGAATAATCTTTCCTTTCTTTTACTCTTTACTAAATGTTTATCAGTAATCTTGTCCTTGTGTTTGGCGTTAAGGTGACGAGTCACTGTGTAATATACATCGTTTCTTGCAAAACAAACACATAAATATTCTTTCTTCACTTTCGTTAGGATAAATTAAAATAGGTAGTCTGATGTTTGAACTAAAATTGAGATCTGCCTCCAACAAATAGCAACTCAATAGCAGCTAAAACAGCATTCAGTTCATTCAAATTTTTAAAGTGTGCGCTACAAAAAGTCATTTTAAAAACATTTGATGCACTCTCAGTCCGGTCACCCCTTAAAGTTCAAGTTATTTTACGAAATCTATAGAAAACGGCCCGCGTTTTCAGACTAGTTAAATACTATAACTATGTAAACATTACTCTCTTTAAGAGTTTTTATAAGATTTAATTTGAATAGTTTTTGAAAATTTTTTATATAAATTATTTTTCTAATCTGTTAAGAAAAGATTATTTAGTTTTAAAAATCTTTTTTACAACTATTGTGTATCGCTGCCATACTTTTTTATGGAGTATTTTGCTGAGAATTTTGCATGAAATTTTAGTTGGTGTTGTCACATAGATTTGTAGTCGAAGAAATGTAGAGTCCGCTTTTTTATTATTAAAATAGTTTGTTTTATGCCTTTTCTATGCACATGCCAAATTTCAATGAAAAATAATTATAAGCAATTAGTTTAATTAGTGTTGGACTTTAATTTATCTTTAATAACTAATTTCGGTTTTTCTGTTGTTTTTTTTTGGTAAGCTAAATCTGGGTGGCACCGTAATCCGGATAAGGGGGTGATTCAAAAAAAAATCTTTTTTTGAATTATTTGATTTATATTATTAGATTTAATTAGAAATGGAAAAAATTAACAAAACTGTTTTAGATGCCCTAACAGATAGTAAATTCAATTTTTTTTTTTCTTAATAGTAGTATTAATAACTATTTTCAAATCCAAAATTCTTCATTTTTTTTATGTAACTTTATGTCAAATATAAAAAAAGATTATAGTTTTAAATTAAAACTGTTGGTATTCAATAGCACGAGTTTTAATTTTTTAAAAACACATTAAATATTTTATGAATTTTTTGTTAAGATTACACTAATGAAGTATACAATATACGTTTATAAAAGCCTATTAAACTTTTGAACTGATTAGTAGCATTTAAAAATTTTATTAAGACATCGCATTTATATACATAAGTATATTGTATACCTCATTAGTTTTAACAAAAAAAATAAATAATCTTAACAAAAAAAACTTCTAAGTGTTTTTAAGATATAACAGAAGATATTATTTTTATTGCCTTTTGTCATATTTTGGATTATATACTTATATATAATCCAAATATGACAAAAATTCTTTGGTCATATTTGATTTATTTTCTGAGGTTTAGTGTTTAAATCATTATACAAGCCTGTCTAATATTTATTTCTCATTTAGATCCAACCAGGCTTTTTATTGACTTTTTAAGATTTCGTAAGTATAAATCACATAAATTTTAAGTTTATTCATTAAAAAAACATTTACTTAATCACAAAGAGAAAATAGTATACAATAAGTAAATGTTAATGAACATTTAAAATATTTTCCTAAATATAAAAACACTTAAAAAACTTAGGTTAACATTTTTTATTTATTGTATACTATCTTTTAAAGATAACTTTTATCTGTGTTATCTGTGTCACAGATAAAGATAATCTTTATCTGTGTTTACTGTTTACATAAGTTTATAACCATTGCTAATGTTAGCTTGTTGCTTATAAATATATTATCTTTATATTTTAATAGTTATATTTTTTTTGTTTATATTTATTTTGTGAGTACAGTAATTGCACCTTAAGCAGAGCAGCTTTGATGGTTGTTACATAAGTAACTTACTGTTGACAATTTCAAATTATTGTGTACAATTTTTTTTCTTTAGTCGAATCTACACAGCCTACCACTGGTAAGTTTGTATAAGTTTGTATATGTTAATGATTATAGAACTAGCGATTACTTTTTAATTTAGCAATTACTTTTTCTGTGAATAGATTTTAAAGATTACCAATTTCTAAGTCATTATTTGCAATATTTATTTTTTATTACAAATTTTGAATTTTAGTTACATCTTCGTTTTTAAAGAATGGTAAGTTTAACAATTATTATTTTTTAATATGTGTATATATTTTCAATGACTGCAATATATAATTTTTTATTAAACAATTTTTAACTTTAGTTCCTTTTACTTCTGCTATAAGTGGTATGTTTACAAATTTTTACTTTTCAATATGTTTATGTATTTCTTGGCAATTGCAGTATCTGTTTTTAATTACAACTTTGATAACCTTTAGTTACATCTTCAGCGGCTAATATGACTAGTAAGTTTAAAAACTATTATTTGCAAACACGTACACACCTCTTTATCAATTGCAAATTACTAACATATAAAAATAATCTTGAATACTTGTTTCTCTTTTCCAATAAACTCAATTTAAAATTGAGTTTTTAAATTGAGTTTATTTTTCAAATATCTTTTAAATTTTTTTTTTAGGTTGGATACGACTGGGCAAGAGAGGGGGGGCGTTTTGCGTGGCACATGTCCCGTCCCTTATGTCAACTTATACACCACTTGTATATGATGTAAAGTAAGAAAATTTAATTTAAACTTTTTCATACAAAATATAATTATTGTTTTTTAGGTTCAAATATTTATAAAAATGTAGCATTTCACTACGAGGGTGTTAAAACGTAACAAAGACATCCACCCTTCAATCTAAATAGACCAATAATATTTGGAAATGGAACGGAAGTAAATTAGAACAATTTTTTGTGTATAAAGATGACATATTTTATCAGAAAAACACTCTTTCGTATCAAAAACTTGTATTTTTTTAAGGGTACGAGGGTGTTCCGGTACCCCCTCCGGTCCTCTAGACACCCTTTTTATCCATAAATTTATATGAACTTGTAGCCTACTAGAAAAATACCAACTTATTCGCACACCTCCGCTCCATCAAATGCACCCATGGTAACATCAAACAAACCACCTGATTTTTTAATCCAAACTTGGTCATTGGTAAATAATAAAGATTTACGCGCGTGGAGAATTAAAGATTTATGATCAGCATCAATGGAAACGTATTGTTCTGCAAATTTTATAGAATTGATAAGTAGCGTTTCACTAATAGAAGGGTAAAAGGCATCGATGTCGAAAATAAGGAATTTATAAAAATGTTTGTCATTGATGTTTTTGAACCAATTTATTACATTTTGTGTACTATTCCACTGATTTATTCGCAAAATATTTCAAAGGTTGGAGTTAATACCTGATAAAATATGCTTACTTATTCTACCAACCTCATTCTTAGCTGGGTTAATTAGACGAACAGTAGGATTATTTAAAAAAATTAGGTTTATGGTCATTTAATGTAATGAAACAATTGGAAGAACTGTTTATATTGATTTTTTTTAAAAACTTCATGATTTTTAAGAATAGTTTTTCCTTCTTTATTAATGCGATCTTTTTTTAACGGATTGGTTTTTTTATAATTAGATGTAGGGCGTTCATTAATAACTTATTGTATTCGTCTTTTGATAATTTATATAAATTTGATGTTTTGTCAGCGTGAGTGTAAGTATACGTTGATTTTCGAATAGTAGAAATGTCTTTTTTTAATTTATTTTTGTAAAAAATGTTCAAAGTGTCCTTGCCACATTCGCATTTTTAATTTAGCACATAACATTTCTGTGCACAATGCCATCGATATGTATATATATATATATATATATATATATATATATATATATATATATATATATATATATATATATATATACAAATATATACAGTAAAATCACGTTAAGTTGGACTCTCAATGAACAGATAAACAGTATGCCTTTCTTTTTTAAAAGTATAAAGAAGATGTGTGATAAACAATTAAATACTTTATTATAAAGAACGAGAGATCTCTCTAAAGGTAAATGATATCAGAAAGAGTAAAAAGAGAAGAAATATATGTGAAACAGCGGGATGTGAACCTGGGTCTCCGCGGCTAAATGTCTTAACTGAATGAGCTATACTTTCATTCAACTAAGTAAATAGTAATATTTATTTATTATATAATTAAGAAACTATATAAAACAGAGTTTACAGAAAGAGATATGTATGCAAATAGGATTCTATATATCAGGAAAATGAATAGTAATGTGAACCTTTCGTTGCTTATAGTTAATATCTGGACTCGAAAACTAGTTACTTTTAATGGAACACAATAGGCTGTAGGAGCCTCAGGGAAATTATATTCAGAAATAATTATATTAGACTCAGAGTTAGCTAGAAATTATTACAAAGTGTTTAGGACTGATGTCTAGTACAAAAAGCACAAGATTTAAAACAAAATGATTTATATTATTTGAAAAAGTTGTTTTACGTACATTTCATCATAATTTAAGTAGAACTTAGTAAAGCAAGAGAAACGTGTAGAATTAAGCACAATGAACTCAATCTTAAAAGAATAACTAACAGAAGAGAGGTTGTCACTATTATGAAGGTGACGAAAGATCTGTAATAAAGAATATGGAGGTCAAAAAATACTATCTTAAGTAAAAAGAGTTTGATAAACAAATGTTACAATGGCTGCGGGATGCGAACCCGTATCTCTGCGGCGAATTATCACGTATCTAACTGATTGAACTATACGATCTTATACTTCAATTTATATCTTATTAAAATTAAAAAACAATATTTTCTAAGATCTATACTTCGAAAAGTGTATTCAAACAGGACTCTACATACCTTTAAAATCTGCTAGAACTTTAGTAACGTGCACACTTTTAGAAATTATCGAAATAGGTATATTTTATCAGAAATATGCTTAAGCTAAAGCATATTGTTGAGCCTCTTTTTACTGTTTGCTTAAACATATTCGAACCTGTTTAAAAAATTTCATATGCTTTAAAAAAAAAAACATGTATATTCCTACCCATCATTCTTATTTTTAATATACGTAATGAGTTCAAAAAACATCGTTATATATATTTATTATGGCACGTTTCGTAAGTTTATTTCCGTTAAGAATTCTTTCGTATGTTGTGATCCGAAATACTTTCGTTTCGAAAGAAATTTTATTTTTTATTAATATTTCTAAAAATAAAACCATAAAAATTTAATATGTTATTATACTGAAAATAAAAATTCATTATAAACATTTTGGGATTTAAAGATGTTAATTTTTATAATTAAAATCAGTCTGGCAAACAAATTTTCTTTATAGACTTCAAAACGTCGTTTGGCGAAAATGTTTGTTTCGCAAGTGCGACTTCCGAAACCGCTACTTTCGTATGTTGCAAAATAGTTTTGTTTCGTATGTCAACTTGCGAAATGCTAAATTTTGGAAGTGGCTTTTGCGAAATGAACATCGGCGATTTTAAATGTTTTGTAACATTCGGTACGAAAAAATGTAATTCCTCGTTCTCAATCTCCTTACGAAAGAATGTTGTTTTTCCGGAATTGCACGAAATCCTCCGGTTAACAACCCTATTCCAGACTATATATTTCTTACGACTATGGTATGTCCATGTATGAATGTATCTATCCGTTATGTACGGAAATTTTCCGTATTAGTAGCTAAATTTTCAAATACGGAAATTTCTGTTGTTTTAATAACTGAAGTTAGATATAACATGTTGAACCGCCATTAGTGAAGATTTTTGTGTACACATTTACCTTCAAAAAGATGTTCTGAAGTTTCACCTGCAAGACGATAAAAGTTCACCAGGCATTTTATCAATAAACTGTTCTGTTCCTTTTAATTTTAAAATTACTTGGTTTCTGGATCACTTGGAACGAGATTATGTTAAGTAGGATTTTTGTCACAAGACTTGTGCCGTCAAAGTTTAATTTTGAGTAATTTTAAGTTTATGTAAGTGCACTCACATAACATGTTATATATAAAATGGATCACTTCAAAGCCAGTGAAAAAGTTCACATGTTAAAATATGTAGCTTAAAATTAGTACATTTTTAAACTGCATTACTTAAGCGCTTCTTTATGATAAGACCAATCAATTTCTGATTGTTTTGAAAACTTTTTATAACAATTTACATTTTATTATTTTTTGATTAATATAACTTATTAAATAAAATATTTAGGTCATCTATAAATAAACATTAAAAAAATAAATTTAAAAACAAATTTATAAAGATTACCCTAGAAATAACAACTATGATTAGAATACATTTCTAAATTTATTTATAATATTTATGCAGGATAGTCATGCAAGATAGTAAAGTTCTATATAAAAAAAATACATCTACTATCCTGTTGAAAAAATATAATGTTATTGTTTCTGATTGTTTTTAGAGAAATTTTGATCAGTTTACTAAAAAATTTTGAAAATTGTATGTAAAACTGAATCAGTTTTACATACAATTTTACATACAATTTTACATACAATTTTACATACAATTTACATACAGCTTACAAAAGTTTACATACAATTTAATATACAGTTTTACATACAATTTAAATACAAAAATACAATTTTGATCAGTTCACTAAAAGGTAGTACGAAGCAAAAGATTGAACGTAAAACTTATTTCCAGCAGTCCAACATTGTAAAAAGACTATATAGTATGTTATTGTTGATACTATATAGTCAAGTGATGCTCTATAGTATGGATTAAAAATAAAAATGGTAAATAAAAATGGTTCCCAACAAATAAGTATAAAGTGAAGGCCTAAAGTTATTGTTTTAAAGGAATTGTTTGTTTTGTCTATTGTTTTTAAATCATTCTGGATTTATATTTCATATTTTTCTCAAAATTTAAGTGCAACGGTGTAACAGAATAAACTCCAGAAATGAAAATTTGATGTATTTTTAGTTTTCATTCAAAAAGAGATAAAAATATATATATATTTTTTTAAATTTTTTTGTCATTGAAGTTCTGACAAAGTAATGTGAAAAAATAATTTAAGAAAAAAAAGATAATTTAAAACAGTTTCTAATTAATGCCAAGCAATCCATAAGATTTAACTATTAAATCTTGAACAATAAATTTTTAATTGATAAAAAATATTACAAGTAGCATTTCTTCACAGCAAAATCCTAAATCTTAGTCCATAGTTTAAGACATTTAGTTCTTAAAACAAGAAGTATTTATCTTGTTTTAAGAAAATAATTTCCTATCGCCAAATTTGTTTCTTAGTACAAAATTTATATTTTTTGTTTTAAGAAATAAATTGCAGTGTAAGAAGTTTTTTCTTGTTTCAAGATTTACAGCACCATTGTTAATCTAGTGTTTATAGTTTGATAAATATGTTTTTTCCTTTAAGAAATAAATTGATTTTTTAAAACAAGCAATATATTTCTTGCTTGAAGAATTGATTGTCTTAAACTAAGGACAAAGGTTTACAATTTTACTGTATTCATGTTTTCATTTGTATTCATTACCAATATTAAAGCATTTATATTTGTGTTGTCTGTTATATGGTTGGCTATAATATGGAAGTTTAAAAAGTTCAAATCCACAAAGCATAAAGTATAAGTATGGAATCTAGAAGCACTAAAAAAGCATTTTATTGAAAGTGGATGCTATGTGGAGAGAAAAAATATTCTAAGTAAATGTTTTTTTATATTTATATATAAATGTAATAATAATATTTATATTTTAATAAAAAGTTAAAAAGTTCGTTTAACTTTTTTAAAGTAATTTTTATTATATTGTATTAGTAATGTATTTATTGCTATTTTTAATCTAATAATTTTGCTCGTGTTCTACCATTTGATGAATTTATTTATGGTCTATTATATCAAGAACACAAGATACGATCATAATGTTAATAGACCACTGGTGTTGATTCCAAGGTAAAAACAAATTTTTCAAAGCAGTCTAAGTTTCTATTATATGCATTTAAAATGTTTGAAAAATGCTTATGTAAAAGCTTATACAATAATATGTAAACTTAAAAAAAAATTAAATAGAAAGGAAAATTTTATGCAAAATGTGAAATAAAGCTCACAACATATGCTTATCTTTCTTAATTCCACAGATTTTAATTTATAATCTATGTCATGATTATGTAATTTATTTTGTTTTTTTTGGGTATATATTTGACTATAATGTATATATATATATATACATATATATATATATATATATATATATATATATATATATATATATATATATATATATATATATATATATATATATATATATATAAACATATGTATATATATATATATATATATATATATATATATATATATATATATATATATATATATATATATATATGTATAAATTTTTATTTAATTTTTTTTTTTGCAATATTTAGTTTCTTATTTATGTCATTAACAATTAGTGAATATATTTATATCACTAATTTTTTCTTTTAAATTTTTTTTCATCGTTTAAGGGATAGATTTTTAGAATAAGAGTTTTTTGTAAAGTAAATTTTGCGCTTTCTACGGAAATTTCCGGCAGTAGATTATCCAGAAACTTTCCGTTATTTTACAGAAAAATCAGTCACTTGTAAACTGAAATATCCGTTTAAATACGGAAATATACAGTTAATAGGCCTGCAAATTGGCTTTACTTGATTTAATGTGCTAAAGGACAAATAAACAATAAACTGAACCAGTGGGCACGGACGTAAAAAAGACGTCTTTTAAACGTCTTATACACGTTTTGGACATCTTTTGAACGTCTTTTGAACGTTTTAGATGTTTTTTGAACGTTCAAAAGACGTTTTTTTTACGTCCAGTGCCCACTGGAGAAGTATTAAAAGAGTTCAATTTACTTTTAACGGTAGTAATTGTTGTTTTGTTTTAATTTCTTGTTCCAGATTATACCAAAAACTTTCGTTTCATCTTTTTCATTGCTCAAAAAAGAATAACAAAATAATTCTATGAAATAAAATAATATTGCTTAAATATTATTATGCGGCCGCGGTACAGTGTTTAGATTGCTTTATATCCAGGCTCGAAACGAGCTCTGGATATATTTTTGCGTTACGGTAAGGAAGGAAAAGTAAACTTTCTGGTTAAATGAACTTCCGCGGTGTTCTGTGACAAGACCAGTAGGTCTTCTTGAGGCACAAAAAAAATTATACTTAACAAATTTTTTATAATAAAAGAATATGTCCAAAGCGATGTTCAAAGCACAAAAGTTTTTTTATTCCGTTTACAAATTAGTCAACCATTTAATGTATCTCCAGATTTTATAAAAATAGGTTCTTTAAAGCAAAATGCGTTCTGCTTGCAATCGGTAGGAAAGTGAAAGGGACTAATACTTACTTAAATCAAAGTTTTTGATTGGCTATTAACATTGTTTTAGTTTTTTGTTTTGTCAGGGACATTAAATGGTCAAAATATTGATTTTGTTATTGAAACTATGATAATTTGAAGGAAATATCTTTGGTCGATGTTGTTGTAGATGGTCTAGTAAGTATATTATTCAATAGCTGCTCACAACTTAGTTATATCTCACTATCATTGCGAAGTAAACTTAATTTAAAAACGTTAGACACAAAGAGAACCATTATTAATACATTTTGAAATCAAAGTGAAACTGAAGTATTAAAAAAGGGTTCAGTTTACTGTAAAGGGTACTAATGGTTGTTTTTTTTTTAATTTCTTGCTCTCGATAATAAGAAGAACTTTCCTTTCATCTTTTTCATTGTTTAAAAAAAAACAACTAAAAGTTTCAATGAAATAACACCATATTGCTTAAATACTATATCTTTTAGATTTTTGTCATAAAACAATATAGCAAATATATATGTCCGAAGCTCGACAGTGCTTTTTATTCCAATGGCATATTTTCAACCAGAGTGTCACAAAGACCAGTCAGGGTTTCAATTGAATCATTAAAGGTACTTAAAATATCCTCCCCATTATATATCTAATCTAAAATACGCTTAATGGAATTAATATTAGTTGTACAAACTTTACGTTTAATAACAATGGTAGATATTTTCTAAAAATTAATTTAACCAAAAAATTAACAACAAATAAAGAGTTTGACCATAAAGGTCTAAAATTGTCTTGGTTTCCAACTTCGCCAAAAAAAAAAAAATTATCACAATGAGATAATGAAGCAATAAAAAGCCTATCCTATAAATCAATAATAACTTTAAAAACTATAAACTTAGATGCTAGGATATTAAACGAATAAAAATGCATGCAGGTATATCTAAATGGTTAATATACCGTCGCGGTATATTTATACTACCTGCTAATTATTAATTGCCATCCAAACAAATTTTTTTCGTTAAACCAACTCAACTGATTTTAAAAAATGTTTAACTTATGAAATAATAACTTTAGCTTTACAACAAAGGGATCAATAACTCCAAAAGGGATCATATATTCTAACAATAAAAATAATAACTTTTCTTTTTCTATGCATGCTAAAAGCAATTTTCACTAAACTTTCAAGTCGATAATTTAATACATCATTTTTCTTGTTTCAGATAATACCAAGAACTTTTTTTTTAATGAAAACGTTTCATATAACTTTTACAAGTTCTATCGATAGTAATGGTGACCTAATTCCCGGTTAAAAACACCACAATTACAAAATAAAAAAATTGTGGCATATCTGCATTTATTACAGTTAAAATATAACGAGCTACAAAAAGCAAATAAGAAAATCGTGAAAAATCAATATACGTCACAATCTAACAACGCAAGTAATTCTAAACCTTTTAAATCGCAAGAAAATAAAAAATTTATTGCTTCGAATTAAATAAAATATCATTACTCAAATCAAAAAAATACATTGCAAGAAATTCCTGTATAATCCAGTACAAAGGATTTTAGTTTATACAGAGATAGAATTGTCAAGTTATCCTACCTTTAACGTTTAACTTTTTGATCACCTTCCGGTATCTACAAGTATTAACTTTGAAGGTAGCGGCTAATCACATGAATAAAATAATACAACGCGAAAATATCATTAATTACCAAAACATGCATGAAAAAATGAAAGGGTTTATTGGTTTTTATAATCTTCATCTATCTAAAGCATTTACCTGTTACGCATTTAAGGAAGAAAAAAGAGAAGCAGAAACTAAAAAAACATGCTGCTATATCAAAAATGCTGCTCTCATGGCTGTTAAACAATGTTTTGGACAATAATAATTTTATAAGTATTCAAAACCTCGGTGGACGCCGGAGTTTAAAAAATATTAAAGACAATCTCTCCTTTCACTTTAGATAAGGGCAAATATCCGGTTATAATAAGTAAATAGAATGTATAATCTAAAAAATGAATATTTATTCCTAAAAAAAAACGTTTTACAGCGTAAAGCTGTAAAAGCGGCTCATATCAAAAAAAAATCCACCAAGAAACTGAAATTAAAGAACACGTACACAATACAAATTGTCAATATAATAATCAGATTTGCGGCAATATTCGAAAAATCAAAAAGAATACTAACAATCAACTCTTTACAATTAACAAATTAAAACAAAACCGATTCGTCGAAGAACTAAGCCATCATTTTCAAAAACTACTCAATACGCTACAATATATAAGTAACGAGTTCAATCTTCTCTAAATTCCACATTTAAGTAAAGAACCTAATTCAAAAGGTATCTCGAGAGCTGATATTGAAAAATGTATTTTAATGCTTAAAAATAATAAATCATACGATTGCTATGAAATAAGTGCTAAACATCTTAAAATCTTTCTCAGCAACAATCTTCTTATGTTACTTTTGTTGTTTTATGGTACTTTGTTAACAAATGGAAAGGTTCCGCCACACTTACTCCATTAGTCAAGTCTTATAAAACATATCTGGAAAATCCAAATAATTATCGAGGAATCAGCATTTTACTATTTTTTACAAAATTTCTTGATTATCTTATTATGCACATATGTCCAGATATAGCAGAAAGTCATTCCCATCAATTTGGTTTTTAAAGAAAAGAGTTCTACCCTCGCAGAATTTCTTCTGAGTGAAACAATAAAGTACTATTAACATAATAACTCACCACTATACGAGGTGTGTTCAAAAATTAAGGTAACTTTGTATTTTTAAGAAAAAATATTTATTTATTTATCAATATTTATTTTGTCCCCTTCAAAGTAACCCCCATTAGATACAATACACTTATGCCAACGGTTTTTCCAATCCTCAAAGCACTTCTCATAAGCACTTTTCGGTGTAGCCTTGAGCTCTTTCAGCGATGCAGTCTCTCTTCAATCTTTGCAAATCTCCGTCCTTTCAAAGGTCTCTTTAGTTTTGGGAACAAGAAAAAGTCACATGGGGCCAAATCCGATGAATAAGGTGGCTTAGGCATGATTGTGGTGTTGTTTTTGGCCAAAAAATCTCTCACAAGTAAAAATGAGTGTGCAAGGCCATTATTGTGATACAAAAGCCATGAATTATTTTTCCACAATTCTGGACGTTTTCTTCGTATTGCTTCTCGCAAACGGCGCATAACTTCAAGATAATACTGTTTATTGACCGTACAACCATATGGTAAGAACTCCTGATGCACCACGCCATGGTAATCGAAAAAAACAGTGAGCAAAACTTTGACATTTGATTGAACTTGGCGTGCTTTTTTCGGTCTTGGCTCACCTGGGCTTTTCCATTGGGACAATTGGGCTTTGGTTTCAATATCATAACCATATATCCATGATTCGTCACCAGTTATGACCCTTTTGAGTAAATCTGGGTCGTCGTTGACGTCATTCAATAGTTCTTGAGTGATGCTCATGCGACGGTTCTTTTGGTCAAAATTGAGCAATTTCGGAACAAACTTCGCTGACACACGTCTCATGTCCAAAACGTTAGAAAAAATTTCATGGCACGAGCCAAGCGATATACCAACATCCTCAGCAATTTGTCTGATAGTGATTCGACAATTTTCCAAAACATTTTTATTTACTGCTTGAACGTTTTCATCAGTTGTTGACGTCCAGAGCGAGGCTCGTCATCTTGAAAGAGTTTGTACCACTTGTAAACATTTTTTTTACTCATAACAGTTTCACCGTATGCCACTGTCAACATTTCAAGTGTTTTGGAGCACTTTATTATATTTTTTACACAAAATTTGATGCAAATCTTTTGATCCATATTTTCTAACAGCAAAAAATCGCCTAGCACGCAAAACACTTTTAACCTTTACGCCTCTCACAACCAAACAAAAAATGCTATACACTTGAAACTTGGTACAGATGTTTGGGAAGAGTGTACCAACATGACAAAACAAAAAAATTGATAATCGAAAGTACGTTGCCCGCGAAATTTAAAAAGTCACCTTAATTTTTGAACGCACCTCGTATGAATGCAGTCTAAACGCTATAACCAGAAAAGTCCTATTATTTATAGTTCATACAATCTCAACACTATTTTTTTTTTTTTTTTTTTTTTTTTTTTTTTTTATATATATATATTTTTTTTTGTCATAATAATAATAAACTAGCTGAATTGACCCGTAAAAATACGGGTCTTTGTAAGTCTATTCTACACAAACCTTTTGCTTTATTTTCTTAATCTAGCTGTCCGTATCGGTAAATGCAGGTCTTTTCTTCTACTTCTATATTTATCAATTCCACGCCAATCATTTCTTTACTTGTTCTTTATTTACTTCAATATTTTTTAGTAAACTGTGGAAAAAAATTCATTAAAAAAATTTGCTTTAAGAGCAAAAAATAACTTTAACATACGAACTTTTTCCGCATGCGTATATAGCTTATTAAATCCCGTTTATTTATTTTGTTTTAAAAAAATTCTGAACTAAACTACTTCCTACTTTTAGACCAGCCATGGACCATGGTTTATGGTCGCGTCCTAGCCATATTCAATAGTTTACTATATTTATTATTATTATATGCTTAGTTTTGAACAATAACGGTCTTTTATAGTTATCTTTGTATTAGACGGAAACGGTAATGCAATTCTTTAAAACGTTAGTCGCTTAAAGCGTCAAAAGTCATGCAAAAAAATAAATTATAAATTTTGTGGTTTAAAAGTTGAAAAACTAATAATATTATAACAAAATATTTGGTAATTTTTAAACGTTATTATTTAGCTCTTATTTATGGTATTTATTTTGTTTTCATTTTACATTTTTAAAAAAATGTTGAAGCACCAACTACATGCATAACTTTGATAGCTCACAAGTTAAGTGCGCAGTCATCAGAGTCGCTGTGCAAGGCTTCAAATCCGCGCCTAAAAAATCTCAATACATTTTTTTTAATTTTTTTAATCTGGCTATATTTATAGCAAAAAATTAAATATGACAAAAAACCTTTTAATTGCTTTTTTTTCCCTGCCTCCACTGCAATACCATGTGGAGTAGCACGAAGGTTTTATCAAATTTTTTCCTTATTAGGTTTTAGGACCTTTTTTTTTAAGACTATCCGTAGCTTATTAGGACCAATTATGCGAGAACAGTATCAAAATCGTGACACACACGCAAAAAATTTTCGCCACGTTTATTGGTGTTTTAAGAAATCCAAAAAATTTATAAAATTAAAAATAAAAAACGGTTAAAGTGTATAACATTTAACTTGTTTAACTTCACAAATATTTTGTAATTTAAAGAAAAAAAATGCTAGTGGTAAATTTGAACCACGACTATTACGTTCAGGGGCTTAGCGCGCTAACCACTCGGCCATGCTGACACATCAAATATCGAAATTTTAAAAAAATATAAAAATTGTTTTTAACGGAATTGCTGTAGATCAAAAAATTAGGAGAGGTTGACGCAATGCAATTTTTAGGTCAAAGTCAAAGTATAAAACTTGAAAAATGTTTCAGTATGTTTTATCATTACTTAATTACGTACGTTAGATATTTGCATACACGTTTTCTTCTAAAAAAAAGTGTTGCGACTCTTTCTACTAACACTACTATTAAGTTTGGCATTATTATATAGAAGATAGATAGATTATAAAATTTTTCACTTAAAAGGACAAACTCTATTCCACATTAACCTTATCTTTATTTCTCACTCTAATATTTTTTAGTGAACAATAGATTATGTGCTAGAAAGAAAAAAAAAAAATTCACATATGCACCTTTTCCGTATATTTATATTTAGAGCTTAACATGAAGAAGGTAAATCATTTAGTTCAAGACAACCTGCCCAAACCCAAATCCTCTGTTGATTTATGCACACTCACTGTCGCTAGGCGTGTAAAATAAGTAGCTAGGCAAGTCAAATAAATTAACTTGATCTGTTTTTCTGCATAAAACAAAAACAGAAAATGTGAAGTACTTGATATAAGGCACTGTAATATTGGATTTAGTTAATTCAATACAAAGTGATAGGAAACTGCAAAATAAGGTAGCAACGTGAAAATTATTCAAATACTAATTTACAACAATTTGTATTGCGTTTTATTAAAATAGCTTTATTAAATAGTATGAAGATTGATGATTCTTTTTCTACGCCTTTAGAAAATGATTAACGATTTGAAAGACTTTTAAATTGATTATAAAAGCATTATCTAAAAATGAAATAAAATCATTATTAATAACACTGAACGCACATTTATTTGTTTTATGTTAATTCATTTGAAAAATAAAAAATACGAAACGAAATTTAGTAATATTAAATAAATATTAGACACTTACTTTGTGATGGTGCTTTTGTAAAAGTCTCTAATATTTGGTTGGAAAGCTGGAAATACTCTTTTTTTTTTTTTTAAATTTAGTTTTATCAGCATTGCTAAAGATAAAAATTCTTACTGACACAAAAAAATATATAAAGTAACATTTTAAAAATTTATGTAAATGATAACAAATATGAAAAAAGTAATGTTTAAGTTTCAATACACATAAAACCCATAAAACTGCATAAGTATGCAAAACACATTACCTGATGGTACTGCAGATGATATTGATGCTATTGTGAAAGTAAAAAAAAAAAAAAAGTGTATAAAGTAACATATGTTATACATTTATGTAATTGTTTACAAACATGAAAAAAGTAATGTTTAAGTTCCAATACACATAACACTCATAAAACTGCATAAGTATGCAAAACACATTACCTGATGGTACTGCATATGATGACAGTAATGATTAAGTGCTATTGTAAAGGTAAAAAAAAAAGTGTATAAAGTAACATATGTTAAACATTTATGTAATTGCATGAAAACAGTAATGATTAAGTTTAAATACACATAAAACCCATAAAACTGCATAAGTATGCTAAACAGATTACCTGATATTATTGCTTGAGGTGCTAATGTAGAGACAAAAAAATAAATAAATAAAGTAATCTGTAAATTAAGATATGCTATCTTTAAGTTTTAACACACATAACACTCTTGAAACTGCATAAGAATGCAAAACACATTACCTGATGGTACTGCAGATAACGCTATAGTGGAGGTAAAAAATATATTTACATAAACTAACATATACTAATCAATTAAACAGTTTATTTTAGAGTGATAAAACCGCACACAAACATCAAAAAATGTGTGTTAAAATTAAACAAAAAGAAACATAAGTGTACTTTCCTTACCAATTGAATTTTCTAAATTTTCTAAATAGAATAAAAAAAACTCATTAACATTAGGAAAGAAACTAACATGCAGAATATTTGTCAACTTTAGGAAATCTATAAATAAAGTTGGAACAAAACAAAAGGCAAAAATAACAATCACAAAATAAAACAAACCAAAAAAGAAAAAAGCGACAAAAAAAATAAAAAATAAAAGTAAAGAAACAATTCACAAGAACAATATAGTAACTTACTAAGTTGTTAAAATATAAGCCCTATAAAAAAAATGCTAAAAATTGTATCAAAAAAGCTAAAAGACCATAGAATACACCTTTTTTTTTGAAAGTAAAATGCTTTATCTATAATACACAAATGTAATATAATCAAATTCTGTTTACCCATTGAATGTTCTAATTTTTCTAAATAAAATGAAAAACTTATTAACATTAAAATAAACTAACTTGCCAAATATAGAATAACTTTTTGTTAAATAAATATGTAATAAAAAAAATAAAGAGCATTACAACAACAATAACAAATTGCTTACTTAGATTCTCAACAGAATCTTCTAATTTTTCTAAATAAAATACATTTAAAAGTTACAAAAGTCACTTGCTGACTGACAAACTGTCACAACTGACAAAAGTCAGTAGCTAAATAGCTTTAAAAAAACTAAAAAAGCATAAATGTATTTGCACACAAAAAAAACAAAAAACAACAACAAAATTCCTCACTTAGCTTGTCCATTACTTCCGCTAAACATTAAAAAAAAGTTATAATTAACAAATTGCTGAAATTGGTGAAATATATATCTTTGTAACATATCCTTCTCATACAAAATTAGCTTACTTGGCAAGAGCTCTTCGGCTCTGATCTCTTGAACATCTAATATATATATAGACAAAATTAATTTTCAAAATATTTACTTTTTCAATTAAACATATAAGATTTGTCTTAAATTATAAAACTGTTGCACAGTTTTATAATTTAACACATTCAGTAAATGACAAAAAGTTTCATTTTACGTGAAAGTTTAGTAGTTAGAAGACTTAAAAGTCAATTTTAGCTTAAACACGGTTTATGAAATTATAGCTTAAACACCTTAAATAAAGCTTATACGCGTTTTTAAGGTTCACTGCTTTACAAAACATCAATCAAAATAGCGGAATAAACAAAACCTGAGTTTTGGGTCCAGCCTTTTAAAGTTCTAAAAATTAGTTTATATATTTTTTAATTTTAGTTAAATTTTAGGGGGGTGTACTTGATTCATGGGGTTAGGGAAGGGCGGCATATCTTGGTTGATTTTAATTAAAAAAGGCTAAATTAAATCATCGTTTTATTCACACCGTAAATCAAGTACAGCTCCGCCACTTTTAGAACATATGTAACTGCTACTATATATATTATATATATATGGCTTACTTTGAAAAAATGCAGAAACTTCTTTGTCGCCTAAAGATATACAAAATTTTCTTAATGTAATTTCTTAATAAAAAAATAAGCTAAATATCTCAGTATTATTGACGTATCATCTCTTTTTATCTCTTTAATTAATGTTATACAAAATTAAAAGATTACTTTCTGTATCTTGGCTGCTCATTTCTAAAAAATAATCTTAATGTTTATTCTTGGGTCAAAAACATATTAACTTCAAACATATTAACATGGTAATTATAAAATAAGTTTAATTATTTAAATGAAGATTACAATAATTAAACTTGTAGATACAACTTACTTGTCGTCCCTCGCTTTGCAATTGTTATAATCGATATGAAGACCACATGGCCGAGTTTTATTGGTTTTAGAGTACAGTTGGCGCACAAATTATAATACCAAAATCAGATGGTTTTGAATCTATTAAATAAGCTGTTTTTATTAACGGATTTGGTGGATTTAATTAGATAACCGCAAGGTAGTTTTACAGTGGTTTAAGAGTTGGCGTACGTTTCGTAATACAAAAATCATTTAAGATTTGTTTATATCTTAATATTCGAGCATTTCTATTAGCGGATTAGGCGAAATTTTGTGGGTTTTCTGTTTTTCACCTTATGGAGTAACTAATTTTTTTTTTTTAGGTTTCAGATTACAATTTTTTTTTTTCATACCCTTCCGTACTTTTTAGGACTCTTGACCAGTTAGTTTTAATAAAAATTTCAGATTGGATGTAAAACCTTTTTTTTATATATATGAAAGAAATTTATCTCTTTAATGTGTGTTGAACTCGCAGTTTTAACTAATTACCTAAAACATAAGTACCTCTATCATGATATATGCGCAACAAATTTCCAACAGCGTTTTTATGTTTTTAAAAATTTTTAAAAACGTTTTTAAAAATTCTCTCCGTTTGCTTTCTTATAGTATATTATATCTTTATTTTTATGTAATGCGTATATCTATATGCATTTAAACTTGTTTTTCTTTGTTTTCTAGAAAACTGGATAGGATTTAAAAAAAAAAATTGTGTAAGCAAATAGTTTTGAACCGAAGCGAAGCACTCAATCGCTGTGGAATGCTATATCATCTTTTTACACTATTTAATAAACAGAAAACTTATTAAACTTTAAAAAACAAGATTTAATGCTTTAAAATAAAGAGATATTGTCGCAATGAAATTATTTAGTAAAAATAAATCGGTAGAATTTGATGTCATCTACTTTATAATTATACTGATTGATAATAAAAGAACTTAAAGTTTACATATTTAGATATTTGAATAGACTTTCGTTCACATAGATAAAATACAAATCATAACGGATTGTGGATCCGAAAAAAAAGGTTGATAAACTACCATCTATAATTATTGGAAAGGTCGTATTTTTAATATCAAAGATATCAAAGTTTGGCGAAAAAGTGAAAACAATGTCTACCTGAATTATATGTTATCTTCCTATTTATTAGGTTTACCAATAAAACTTCCCTGATTAGTTTATAATTTATTCAAAGCCCTGATTAGCTTTTAATTTATTTGCCTATTAATCACCCTTAACAACAATAACCGCCATAAACATATTCTTAGCATTCTACTTAACGGCTTATCTATTTAGTCTATTTTGTCACTAAGTATAAAAAAATTAAGGAATATCAATTTATTTATCTATTTAATTTAATATATATAATATATAATTTAATATATATAATTTAATCTAATTAATATAATTGAAATACTACTAATCAATTTACTGATATTTTTTCTATAGCATTGTTTAAAATGGTCATATTCTGAAAGGTAAAGAAATTTATTGAAAAGAAAGTTGCACAAAAGAAAAAAAAAACTAAATAAAAGTTATTCGTTTCAAAAAACGTTTTACGAAGAGTTTTTCCAAACAATTTTATTTTTAATTGGGTTTTTTTTGAATTACGTCATAAGCATATTAAGGCGTTTTGAAAAACAGTTGCTGCATATATTTATAGTAAAAAAGTTAATGTAGCAAAATAAACTTTTAATTGTCAAAAGAAACTTTTAAAGTTTTATCTAGCTCAGCGCTGGCCAGACGTTTTGTCACAAGAGCCGCATTTATATACTTACGTGAGCCGAAGAGCCGCAACAACTTCATGTTTGTTTTTTTATATAAGATACTTTTATACTCTTTCTTTTGATAATCTGAATTTTAAGAGACTTTCGTAATAGATAAGTAAAAAAAAACTACCCAAAAAATAAGAAACTTCTATTACTAGCCCATTTTCTTGGTTTCATATAAAAACAACAATTTGTAATTCACTATTTAAAATCATTTTTTTAAAGAAAATTTTTTAGAAAATACAAATTATTTAGAAAATTCCATATGCTCCTAAGGGGTGGAAATAATTGTTGTATTACTATTCAACAATATCATTTTAATATGAAATTTAGATATTTCTTGGATACAAAAAGACATTTTTTAAAGATTTAAGTAAAATATGTATACAATTGAATTTAGTTAATTGTTTTAAAACACTCAATAAATTTTTTAAAGAAAAAACTATTCCTTTAAAGTTTTGTTTACAATGCCATTATATCTGATTTATTTTATAAAATTCCCTTCAGACTAAAAAATCATTTCTATAATTTTCGACAATCACATGATCACACTGATTTTGCACAGCACACGATTAGGTGCTGTGCAACACACTGGCTATGTGCTGTGCAACACACTGATCTTTTTTATGATAGATTTTTGCACAAGCACATGCTGATCATAAACTTTTTTTTAATTAACAAAATTATAACAATACTTATATTAATGAAATAATAATTAAAAAACAACACTAAAATTAGATTATTTTACTTGATTTTTACAATCAAGAAATAACTTTTTCATCATTTTATCAATTTTTTACTTTGATCAAACTAATACTCATAACTTTATTGGTAAGTTTCTTAAAATCTGGTTTCAAACTTGTAGTGGCTGTTTTAAGTAACTCAGACAAATGCTCACTGGTTAGATTTGCACGATACTTTGATTTGACAAATTTCATAGTAGAAAATAAAGATTCACATGTATACGTTGAACCAAAAATTGAAATGAATTTTATGGCAATCTTTTTAAGTTGAGGATACTTAACCTCGGGAACTATCTTCCAAAATTCCATAAAAGTTATTGTTTTAAGCAGCATAAGTAGATTTTGATTTTCTTGGAGATCTAGTAGTTCCATTTCAAATTGAGATATATCTTCAAGCATTTTTTCAGGAATTGGACAGCCATTACTAATAATATTAATTAAAAAAGGATTTACTATAAATCCTAAAGAAGATTTTAGTTCATGCAAATCTTTAAACCTTTTTTGAAAGTCTTTTTGTAAATCCTTTAGTTTGTCCAAGTATGATTCAATCTTATCGTCATCATACTGAATTGAAGGATTAGAAGTAATCATCTTCTTCATTTGAGAAAAATGATTAAATTTTTTCGAGCTAAAATCTTTCTGAAAAAGAATAATTTTTTTTTGAAAACTAAATATCGTTTGCGCAAGATCAGATATATTTTTTTCTTTTCCCTGAAGAAACAAATTCAGACTTTTTAAATGTTGCATTATATCAGTCAAAAATAAAAGATCTTGCACAAAATTTATATCGTCTAGGATTTCAAATATCTTTTCTTTTTCAATCAAAAAACATTTAATTGGCTCTAACAGTTCTACAAATTTATAAACAACATCACTACTTGAAAGCCATCTTACAGAACAGAAAAATGACACGTCACTTGGCTCATCAGCAAGATCCAATTCATTTATAAAGTTTCTAAACTGTCTGTGATTTTTTGCATTTGCTCGAATATAATTTACAATTTTTAAAACAGATTTAAAAACAATCGGAAAGTTAAAATGTTTTGCATCTAAATGTTCTCGATGAACGGGATAAATTCTGGATACTTAGGGTCACTTTTTAATAAGCCTATAAGTCCTAAATGTTTTCCAGCCATTGCTGATGCACCATCTGTAGCAACACTAACAAGCTTGTTGATAGGTACATTAGCTTTAAGCAGAGCTTTGTCAAGGGCTTCCTTAATATCAACTCCACGAGTTGTGTCTTTCAACTCAACTAAATCTAGTAACTCTTCTTTTACAATTACGTCTAAAGTCACATATTTAACGAATACAGCCATTTGAGGCTTGTCTTGAATACCTGTTGATTCATCTACAGCTAAACTAAATGCTTCACAGTTTTTTAAATCGTTAGTAATTGCTGTTCAACATCAATACTAATCTCAGATATTCTTCTTTCGGTTGTATGTCGAGAAATAGGAATTTGTGATACTAATCTTTGGATTTTGCTATTACTAGGATCTAAAACCGACAGGACATCTGAAATGTTTTGCTTTACAAATTCTCCATTGGTATAAGGATGTTTACCTCTGGCAATATTCCATGCTATAACAAAACTTGCTTCTGTTGTATTAATTGATTCTTGGCTGTAAGATGAAATATTTAGTTGTTGATTTTTATTTTTCGTTTTGAGCAATTCAATTTTATTCTTTCTGTAATTTGATCTTAACGGATATTTTTCAGAAAATTGTTTATGTTTTGTTTCATAATGACGTTTAACATTGCATGTCTTGTTATGAGCAAGTTCTATATTGCAAATTAAACATATAGGTTTATTGTTTCTTTCAATAAATGCATATTTTTCTGTCCAATCATTATGAAATATTCTGTTTTCGTCTTTAATTTTTATTTTCCTCTTTATTTTGCGAAGCGAACTAGTGTTTACTTTTACTTTATCCATTTTTGCAAGTTTTATGACAATAAGAATGATGGAAAAAATTATATGGAAATATATTAGCATATAACAATTTGGAAAAAAGCCGTATGCGGCTCGCGAGCCGCCATAATATTTTCCGAGAGCCGCATGCGGCTCGCGAGCCGCCATTTGGCCATCCCTGATCTAGCTACAGGCTTTTTTTTTTGCCTCCACAGCAGCATCTTATGAAGTAGCAGGGCTGTCTTGTTAAGTTTTTTCTTTATTAAGTTTCAGACAACTTTTTTTTCAGACCATCCGCAGCTTATTAGGACTAATTACATTCGCACATTAATAACATAAGTGTCTCAATTATCATAGATACGCAACATATTTTTTCTCGTGGTGATGTTTTTTTTTTTTTTTTTTAATGTTTCATGAAGTTTTAGCATTCTTAAAATCTTTTCTTTTGTGAGTGCATAATATCGTTACGTTACATATGTTTGTATATAATCTTTATAAAACTTCGAAAGTATTTTGTAATTTAAAATAATTAAAAAAATTAAAAAAAATAGCCGCTATTGGTAGGAGTCGAACCTCTAGTTACTTGTTCAAAAGTTCCACTCGAGCTACACCAGCATATCATAAAGTATAGATTTTATAAAAATGTAGTAATTTTTTTGAGGAAAAAATGTTAGATCAAAATTAAGGAGAGGTTGACGCAATGTAATTTTCAAGTAAAAATCAAACTGTAAAACGTGATAAATGTTTCAGTATGTTTTAACATATGCTTTAACATTAGTTTAAAGTTTACGTACGTTAGATGTTCGTTCACGTTTTCTTATAGCGCTGCGACTCTTTCTTGCCAATACCTCGGTTGCAATGGCTGCCAAGGGTTTCGTGTTAAATACGCTCCAAGGGACACTACTACTACTACTATTAAAACTATTAAGTTCGGCAATATTATATAGAAGATGTTTTAGCGTGGTTTCTTTTGAAGTCTTTAAAATGTGTTTTGCATTAGTAACTGATCGTTTTTTATCATATATATGTATTTTTATAATAAATAAAAAAATTGGTATGTATTGTAATTAATATTACAATACATACCAAGTGACATTCATAGCAGCATGAAAAAATTTTTTAGGCGAGCGTATACTTTGTTATAAAAATATATTTTGCTTATAAAAAATGTTTTTTATTTTTTTATTGTAATAGAATGCAGGCGTTTTAAGAATTGTTAATAATAATTATTAAAGTCACTGTGTTTTTATTTCAGTGACAATGATAATTATACTTTTAAAAGAAAAAAATATACTTGACATTTTAGGAGAGTTTATACCGTAAACGTTTTATATGTAAACGTTTTAGGGGAGTGTGGGCGAGAGCGAAAGCTAAAGCTCTCGCTTCCCGCCGAGGCCTGCATATAAAAATAATCTTTTTCCAACGGAAACTTCCGTGTTTCAAAACTTATTTTTAAAAAAGGAAACTTTTTTAGTTTTCTTTCGTGAACGTTTTTTTTTAACTCAAAATTAAATTTTAAATAAACTACTGCACAATGGGCCAGAATGGTCAATTTGGACACAAAAAAAAAAACTATTTAATATTAATGCTACATTCACTATATTTAGCATGAGTAACAATATTAAGCTTCTTTTGGCCCACTGTGGCCCATGGCCCACTGTGTGCTGTATCAAAAATTTGCACAAAACCTACTTTAAACTATATTATTTGTATATAAATAATATATACAGTGATATAATTTTACCAAAATAACCTACAGAGAAAAATGAGCTTTTCAAAGAGCTCTTTTTATAGTAATTTAGGAGCTCATCCAAGAGCTCCTTTAAGAGGTCTTAAACGAGACAGTCCGCCAAGAGCTCTTCCAGGAGAGCTCTGAAGAGATTTTGTTAAAGAGTGTTTGAAGAGCTCCATCAAGAACTCTTTTTCAACTCTTCTTACTGAGCTATTTATTTGGTTTTCTCAAAGCTCATCTAGGAGCTCCTTGAAGAGGTTTTAAACGAGACAGTCCGGCAATAGCTATTCTAGTAGAGCGCTGTGTAGTGTTTGTTAAAGAGCGTTTGTAAAGCTCTACCAAGAGTTCTTTTTTTAACTCTTAAGAGTTAAAAAAGTGCGCTTGGAATTAATTATTTGCGCGTTTAAGCATGATGGTACTAGAAATGTACTATGAGATAAATCTCATAGTACATATCTAAATATACTATATATACGATAAGATCTCTAATACATCCATGGTTTAAATGAAGAAGATTTAATCTTTACATTAAAAAAAGAGTAATAAAGCGTGATTGTTTTAAAAATTCTTATTTTATTATTAAAATATTTAAAAAAATTACCATTATTATTTATATAGTATTAATATTATTACATGATACCAATATTTACTTAAAACATAATCCTCCGCTTTTATTTTTAAGATACGTTATTACTTTCTTTCTCACTACTTTCTTTACTATTTTCTTTTTTCTCTTCCTCCATTAAAACATCTGTCTTATCACAGCAAATCTTTAGAGCGATCTCTGGTGTTGACAAATCGTGCTACTTTGCTATCTCAAATCGCAAATCGTGCAATCCCTTTTGTCTTGGTGCCGGTGAAAACTTGAATAGTTGAAGCTATAAATACATTATATTAAAATAGTCACTATTTTTTTTACTACAAAATTAACTCTATAATTAAATATAACACATGATAGTTATGCTTAAATTTACAGGAATAAGAGAATGTTTCATGATTATACCATGGCCAATGAGAGAGGCTAGAGCAGACAAGGAATAATACCTGGGCTAAATAATACTTTTTGATATTGGATAATATTTTTCAACATTCACCCGAGGCCAAATGTACAATTCTTGATTCTCGTTTGAGCAGTCTTATAATTGCTTCAAAACAGTTTTCTATTTTTATTGCTGAAACTTGGTCTTATAAAATCAATAGATTACAGAAGAATCTTAAAGGATAAAACAATATTGTTAAATGTTATATATATATATATATATATATATATATATATATATATATATATATATATATATATATATATATATATATATATATATATATATATATATATATACACATATATATCATAGGGAAATGATGTTTAGAAAAATAATCTTTTCTTTTACAACAAAATGGTTAATAAAATAATAAACATTTAATGAATAAAGTTAATAAATTAACATAACTTTTATATTTGTTTATTTTTTAAAATATACCTTTTTTTTTTAAATAAAATAGTTTAGAACATAAGCTCGTTCTGATTTTGGGGTTATAAAATTATCTTTGTTGTTTTAGTTTTTTTAATTTAAGGACATTAACTTCTGCTATAAATTAAATTACCACAAAACAGTTTCATTTTACGAATCGAGTAAGACAAATCTAGAGCTGCTTTCTGAAATGTACATATTGCCGTAACCCAAAAAAATCAAACATACGTTTTATAAATATTTTTGATGAAGTATTTTATAAGTTAAAAAATGTTTAAAAGAAATTTAATTTTTTGTAAAAAATAGAAATTAAATACTAGATGTTTAACCAATGTGTGTTTAAATAATATTAGATGTGTTTAATGGATACTAGATGTTTTGCCAGCTGACTTTCATTTTCTTTAAAATCACATATGTTTTTCATGTTTTTTTTATAAATACATGATTTCAACTGCATCAGTTTCTTTTTTTTATTTTTTATTTAATTTTTATTAATTCGACTAGATTATTTATTTACTAGTCGAGAAGGAAACATCGTAATAGCAGAGCTAATCGAGACGAGTTCCCTTACCGAAGTAGCAAAGTAGTACTGGTATTGCTGAGTAGGTAGAGCCGAAATTTGAACCTGCAATCCTGCTGCTATGGCCAGTAATTATTCCAAACATTTAGCATTGCTTTAACAAACTGAGCTATTCCGGCTCAAATAAATGTTTCAAACTCCCTGAGTTATCCCGGCTTGATTAGGTCTGGTGTTAAGACGGATTTTTCAAGGACTTAACTTTCTATGACGAATGTTTAGATTTGTATAAAATTTTCTACAGAAACTCTGAATCAAATATTATATGTCATTTAGTATACTTTCAGGTGCTTAATATAAAAAGAGATGGAGCTAAAGATAATAAATATCCCCATTTTTTATCAGGCACCTGAAGTTACAATATTCATATTGGCAAGCTATTCACTACAATTCAGTCTCTTTTGAATAAACATAATTGATGAAGACATAAATTTATTATCTTCACATTGAACTTTGTAAATATCTATCATATTCTTTTTTAAAGGAATTAAATGAAGCAAAAATATTTACTTCCTTGATCCAATCAAAAAGAAACATTCTTTTGAAAAGCAGTGAAATAACTTGATGCAAATATGTCTAGAATAAATTGTGCAAAATTTTAATATAAGACCTAAGTAATTCAATCATATTTATTAATGTTAAAACAAAGTCAAACGATGCAAAAGTTACATTCTTTTATTAAAATTTAAAGGCCTATATATAGAAATTATATTGTTTAAAGTACACTGACACAAACTGACAAAAAAGACTGCTGTGGAAAGAAGCAATTTGTGTTTGCAGCAAAAATTTATGAAGTAGGTAAACTTAAAAACAAATTTAATGTTTACAGATAAATGTTATTTTAATCTTTGCAAAATTTTCATTTTTATTATACCAAAAAACTTTCTCTATTCTACCACATTTTCATTAAAATCTGAACTTGTTAACTCAAAAAATAATTAAAAAAAAAGAATATGAGTAACTTTGAGTAATTCGATATAAAAATTCTTGCTAAAATTAACACATACCACCAGCTTTGAGAAGAATTGTATATTAATATATTGACCTTCCTGCGCACAAGTTTTTTATAGATCAAATTATGCTAAGAAGTCTGCTTTTTTTTTAAAACGCAGTCTTTATTAAAAATACTCCACCCTATTTTTTTCATTTACAATCTGTAAGCTTTTTACACTAAAAAAAGTTGATATCAAACTTGATATAAAAAAAATAGTTGGAACAACAAATAATTAGTGACACATTTCTTTTTATGCATAAAAAAAAAGACTCTTCTTCACTATAGACAACATTTAAAAAATATCAAACTTAAGATGATACTGACAATAAATACTTTAATAACAACATTTTCTACTATACAGAGACAAACCCAGTCAAGTTTTAGTACCGCTGTAACGGTTTAAGAGCCCAAAAAAATAGTTCCCAAAAATTATTTTATTTTTTTTAATTTTTATTTTGCTTTTTTATTAAAAACAGAACAAAAAATTTCAGTTTTAAATGTTTTTGATAATAGATGAACCTTTGATCTTTAGCTTGCTATTTAAGTTTACGTGAGGAAATAGAAAAAACGAAACCTAAACTTTTTTAAAAAGTTTTGTTTCTTTAACGGCAGTTTCAAATTGATACTTATTGGAACTTTATTCTGAGCATGCGCAGTCAACACTTATAAAATATGGGTTTTTAATTATTTCTTTCTGAAGCTCAGCTACTGCAACTTAATTTTTTTAATGTTTGATATTTTAAATTTTTTCCAAACCAAAGCGATTTGTTTCAGAGATAACTGATAAAACATTGTTTTATAAATTTTGTTGTTGAAATTAGGGCTTTCAACAAAAACTTTTAAATCAAATGGTAAAATATTGTTCTTAAAATTTTTTATTTTGTAATCAGCTATGTTATAATGAAACGAATTTTCTGTATCTGAAAGTAAATATTTTTGTTTTCATCAGTTTATTGTTCTTCCTTTAAACTTAATTTTGGAGACCGATTTTTTTTTTTTCGCTAATTTTTTATTTATTTTACATAACTGCTATATTTAGATATTTTGTAAACATGGACTATTTAACCAAGTTAAGTCTCATTTGCCGAATTTGTGGAGAACATATAACAAAAGACTCTGTTGATGTGTGTAAATATTCTGAAAGAATTGGAAATACTTATTATATAAACACCACCATAGACAATAAAAATATTCACCCACAAAAAATGTGTAGGAGGTGCTATATCATTTTGAGGAACATTGAAAAAGGTTCTAGCACAAGTCTTAAAGTAGTAAAATGGCCATCACCATGTCCAGACAAATGTTCCTGTTTCTCCAAAGTTTCTGGAAGGAAAGTTAAAAAATGTAAAGCTGGTCGGCCATGTATAATAGAACAAAATCAGAAGAGGTGGACCAGGCCAATCATTAATAACTTAATTGCTAGTATACCAAAACAAACATTGCGTTTAAATGCAATTGATATTGATCCTGTAGCAAATCCCCATTTAGACTTATGTATTTGCCAGTTATGCAACAACATTATGTATAAGCCACTAATATTAAAAGAGTGTCAGCATTCTTTTTGCTCAGAGTGTTTATTCAGAGAGATGGAAAGAAAGCTGGAAACAGAAGCAAAATGCTTTATTTGTAATCAACACATTCCATTATATACAATTTTAAATTTTGTTAATGTAACACTATTGATAGAGCACATTCTTTTAGGTTGCAATAAGAAATGTAAATTAAAATTTGCAGTTAAAGACAATGACCTTAAAAAATTACACGAAGAAATTTGTATTGGTGAACAGCTATTACCAACTATGATTTGCAAAAAAATTCATGATGGACTTCATACAACTCTAGCTGATGTATTTTTATTAAAAGAAAATGATGCTATACCACAGATTGTAGAAGATGCTGCGTTACATGTTATAAAGCAAAAGCTAGTTACCTCTGAATCAAATTTATTTGCATTTCCTTCCGGAGGACCAAGGGTAAGCACATTTTTAATATGTAGCAAAAGAAAATGAACTATATTATGTTTTGTTATAATTATTAAAACTTTTTTCTAGCCTTTACATTTTACTTCCAACTCAATAGCATATAAAGAGAGCTCAGGTGTTAGTAAAAGGACAATTAAGAAAAGACAAAAAGCAGTTATAAATTATTTAAATGTGATCTCTGGTATGTCCGGCACATCACAACTTCAGCAAACTTCTGCTATTTTGAATTCATTTGAAGTAAAAGATCAAGTAAAAATATTGAAGATGTCAGACATACCTTTATCAGTTATAAGTGCTGAGGAAATGATTAGTATGAAAGCTCATATGGGAATAACATATTCAAACACGAAGTTACTTGCAAGGTAAATTATATATATATATATATATATATATATATATATATATATATATATATATATATATATATATTATATTATAAAAATGAAAGTGTGAATTAATAAAAAATATATATATTTAAAATTTTATTTAGATGGCTCAAAACCAAAGATATAGAATGTGCATCAAATAAAAAGCAACGGAAAGTAGCTAAATCCTGGTCTGGAGAGGATTGGGTAGTTTGTAATGCTCATTTTAACTTTCTTTTAAAAGACTCCAGTGATTCATTTGAAGTAAAAAATGCTCCTTGGGGATACATTAAAGATCTTCCATCACATATAATAAACAAACTCAACCTTCTGAAAAGGTATACATAGTATTTTATTTAAATAAGTGTGTATTTAAATGTTGTCATTTTATATATTTTTTATTAGTATTTTATTTACTTGCTCTAAAAAAAAATTAAATTTATTTAAAATTGAGCAGCAAAAATTTGCTAAAGCATTCCAATATAAAAAATGACGAAATTCACATCAAAATTGGTGGTGACTATGGCGGTGGATCTTTTAAGATGTGTTATCAAATTGTGAATGTTGATAAGCCAAATTCCAGAAGAAACACAAATATTTTTAGTATTTTTGAAGCAAAAGAATACAAACCAAACCTTATTGTGGGTCTCTCAATGTTCACACAACAAATTAATCAATTGCAGTCATTGTGTTGGAAGTAGGTTTTATTTTATCATAATTTTAAAAATGTATTTAGATTAATAGATTTTACTCTATTTTGAAAAAAATTATTTTTAGCGAGAAAAAAATAAGAGTATTTATCTTTGGTGATTACGAGTTTTTATGTTCAGCATATGAAATTACTGGTGCAAATGGTATAAATTCAAATAATAAAATTGTGCAACAAACAAAACCACATAACCACAATATAAAATTATTTAAGTTGATGTTTATATTATTTAGTGACATTTTATGACTTTTGATATCCTATATTTAAACTGATATTATCATATTAGGTCGACATGCTTGCTTGTTTTGTCATATAACTTGTGCAGGTATGAAAAAGTCAGATACTTAACAAAAACACAGTCTTTGTTCCAATCGCACGCTGGAAACACTTGATACAGATCTCCAAAAATTCATTCAAAAAGGTTGAATACCAAAGTTAGCAAAGTATTGTAACAACGTCATTGATTCTCCACTTTTCAATATTCCTTTAACACAAGCACTACACTTTTCTATTACATTACATTTTTACTTGTTTATATAATTGTAAATATTTTTTTATATTGATTTTATGAATCTAGGTTGGCATTCCATTGTTGCATATCTCATTGGGGATTTATCTTAAATTTTTTAATATGCTGGAAGATGGCTGTCATCTCATAGATATAAAAATTGCAGCTAAAATGTGTTTAAAAAATCAGACTGTAAACAACAAGAGTTTTGATGAATATATTGTAATTCAGTTAAGAATATATGAACAAGAAAAAGCTATTGCTGAATATTGTGAAAAAATAACACTTATTCATGAAGCAATGTCAATACAAGTTCTACGTTCTCCTGAAAATAAAGAATATCTATATGAAATCTTTCAGCCTAGAGTAGTTCATTCTATGAAGAAGAAAAATGCTAAGGTATAATAAGTTTATATTTGAAATAATGAAATAAAATTTTCTATAATTCTATGTGAATGAAACATAAATCAATCTAAGAGCAAATGCTTATGTGTGTGTTTATGTAAATCTGTTTTTTATATAGATTATTGAATTAGAAGAGTTAAAAACTAGAACATTTGAAAAATCGCATGGACCACTTGTAAAAAAACTTGATGAAGTTCTATGTGGGCTTAATGTTCAAAGACAAGCTTACCACAGAAAATGTTTTATTGGGAATCATGTTCATAAAATGTTAAAGGTATTTCTATACATATTTTTGCATACTTGTAAATATGAATTTTATAAATATTTTCTCAATCACATAGTTTTGTAATGCATAAAGGTACTAATTTTGTAAATCATAAAATTATCTTTTATCTATTAGTTAAACAGTGTCCTAGATCTTTGCAATTCGATACCTAAGATAGTAAGCGATCTTGGATTTATTGATACAGATGTTTTTATAGAGGCAAAAGTCTTGAGTGAGAAATTTGTTGAGTTGCTCTCTAAATACGCAACATGTTACAACTTTATGAATTCAAGTGAAATAATTAATAATAATCCATTATTAGAGTTAGGTAAAAATATATTTTTATTATGTTACTTGTATTAAAATTCCTCTTGCTTGCATAATTATTCTTTCTTTGTTTTCTATTTACGTTTTCTTATTTATTTATATATTTTGGATTTAGAAGGAGCCATTGGAGAATTAATGAGTTACTTTCGTAAAACTTGGCCGAATGTGTCCATTACGCCAAAAATGCATTTATTAGAAAGTCATTGTGCTGATTTTATTAGAAATTGGGGTTTGGGTCTCGATATTTATGGAGAGCAAGGTTTATAAAGCATGCATGCTGAATTCAATAGTATGAACAGCACCTTTTGCCATATGAAAGGGAAGCAAAGACTAGAAAGTATTCTGTCTAATCAATACATCAAAAACTCCCTAGAAGCATTGGAAATTAGACCTACTATTCAAGAAAGAAAATCTTATAAAAGAAAAGCCTCGTGATATTTATTAAATAATTGTATATATGATTGTAATTGCATAACGACTTAATTTTAATGTTTATTGTAAGAAAAAATATATATACTCTACTTCCGAATATAATAAATATTTAATAAAATAAATAGTTAATCTTTTGGTTACTAGACAAAAACGAATATTTTATTTCATTAGATTAGATAGATGTGTTATTCCTTACGTTTTCTTTAACATCTTGGAAAGTAACCATAGTTACGTATATTTTTATTTTACAAAAAAAGTTCAAAAAATCTACAAAAAAAAGTAATCGGTTCTTCAAAATTTGACAGAATCTTTAAATACCTTAACTCTTTCTCTTAAACATTTCAGCTTTTCTCAAAAAATTCATTTAAGTACTTATTTATTAAGAATTACTGACTTCCTTAATATTTATAACTAAAGAAACTGCAAAGTTCTAGAAATTATAAAAGTTAGATAAATGTTTTTTTTATATATTTTTTTTTCATAAAAATTAGCATAACTTAATATTTATTAAAATAGAAAAATTTAATTACTCATTTTTATCAAAAAGTAAATAAAATTAGGTTATTAAAAAAAGTGTTTTTAAAAGTTTTTTTTGCGTTTCGCATCTTTATTGAGTAGTTAAGCAAATAAATATTTGTCAATGCGCATGCCCAGAATAATGTTCCATTACGAAACATATTTTTTTCGCCTTTTTAAACAATAAAAATAACGATTACAATAACTAAATAAAAATTTTATTAAGGTCTGTGAAATTTAAACCATATTAAATGTAACTTCTTTATTAAACGTAATTTTTTTAGTTATACTTAATAATTGAAAAAATATTTTTAAAAATATGGTATGTTTTTTAATCAAAAAAATATAACATTTTTAAAATTATGTTTAACGTAGTTTCTTTTCTTTAATTATCTTTAAATTAAACGGTGCCTTGAAATCACTTTGAAAATTATTAACCTATAGTAAAAGTTAAATTAACAGATTTGCTAATATTTAAATCAAAATTTTAAAATTAAAATAATAGTAAATATATTTATTAAATGCTTATATTTTTTGTTCGAATAGTTATTCTACTATGTAAAGCTATTTTGTTAATTTTACAAATACTACGTGGTTTAATTTAATTAAATATATTAATGTTTGCATTAAATTTAATTAATGCAAACATAAACTAAAAATTGTTTAAAGTATTGAAAAGTTTAATTACTAATTATTTAAAACTAAATATATAAAACTTACTAAATACTAAATTAAGTTTACTAAAATATAGTTAATAAAGGTTTAAAATACGTTAAACAATTATCAATAAATTTTTACTAATCGTTTCGTTGGTTCGACAAGATTTCAAGTAATATTTTTTTTTATACATGGAGAATGTCAAATAAATCGTTTTTTCTTTTTTTTTTAATGTTTAAAAAAAAATGTTATATGATTTTTTTGTTTTTTTTTTTATTTTTTTTATTTTTTTTCAGTTTACATTATTTACATGTCGTGATTTACATGTAATATAAACATATAAACTTGGAATCTAGAAGAAGGTCATATTGATCTTGTCGCCATATGAAAATTACAATATAAATATAATATAAAATAATACAGGTAGTTTATAACATAAGAAATGGTTAAAATAATATCTCAAAAATATTTCAATTTATTATCCGTACAAAAAATAATATTCTTTAACTTGTTTTTAAAAATAGAAAAAGAGATAGATGAATCTAAATTAGGCTGTACAATTTTATTCCAGATATAAGGTGCTCGATAATCTATACAAAATTGATTAAACTTTGTTTGAAAAAAGGGTTCTTTTAAATAGATATTATTTCGCAAACTATATTTATTCTTTACTTTAAAGGTAAATAGATCTTTAAAAACATGAAATAAAGGGTTATTCATGCAACAAAACGTAAAACATAAAGTATTATAAAAGTGAAGTTCATAAACGTTTAATACAATTATATCTTTAAATAGAGGTTTTGTATTTGAAAAACGATTTAGAAAATATATTATTCGCATTGCATGCTTTTGATAGCGGTAAAGACGTTGCAACTTACTTTTACCAGGCAATATTTGCATAGTTTATATAGCTATGAATAAATGAGTAGTATAGTTGCTTTAAATTATTTTTATTTAGATAATTTCTGGCCTTATAGAAGATACCAATACTTTTCGCAACTTTTGTTGATATATAATCAATATGAGCTTTCCGTGTTATATTTTCGTCAAGATAAATACCTAGGAATTTTAAAACGGAATCTTTTTTTATTTCTACTTCATCAAAATAAAGTTTAGGTAAATCATAAGGCAAAAAACGTTTTTTTGTTGAGGAGTGGAAAAGGATCTACTTTGTTTTGTCAATATTTAAGGTTAATTTATTGCATTTAAATCAATTAGAAACTTGATTAAGTTCTATATTCATTTCTACAAATATTGGTTAATGTCTTTGTTTGATAAAAATAAATTGGTATCATCGGCAAACATGATGCTCATAAGATTCGAGGCCTTATTTAGATCGTTGACGTATACTAAAAAGAAAAGTGCGCCAAGTGAAACACCACATTTTATTTCAATGAATGTTTTATTTTGAAGATGAATAGGAAGCAATTCTTCCCAAAAGCAAAAGAATTTGAGACTTCACTTGTAAACTGAATAATGGCTTGTTCAGTTGAACTATTTTTTTTTTTAAAGCCGAATTGATTTTTATATATTAAATTATTTGAAACCAGGTAGTAGTATGTTTTTTCGAAAATTATTTTCTAATATTTTTGAAAACGTAGGAAAAATAGAAATAGGGCGATAATTATTTATGTTTGATTTTTCTCCTACTTTATAAATCGGAATAACTTTGCCAATTTTTAATAGATCAGGGAAAACCCCATGTTGTATAGATAATGTCCATTTGCACCGATTACTTTGTTTTTTTTTTAAAGATTTGAAGGCTCTTTCAAACTCTATAATCGATAAGTCTAGAAATAAGCCATGAGGAGAAAAAAAATTATTTGAAGTTGTCAAAAAATCATTAAAGGAAATATTTGTAGATGGAATCGTATCAACCAGCCTACTTCTGATATCAGTAAAGTATTTATTAAATTGTTTTGCTATTTCATTTAATTCATATACACATACATTGTTTATCTTAATCATTTTCGAAGGAAATTTAAACAGGTTTTCTGTTTCCCCGTTATTTATTTCAATATTTTCCATATTTGTTTTGAGTCATTTTTATATTTAGTGATATTATATTTTATTTTGTTTATTCATGTATTTTTATACATCATCTACAAAAAGAATATCTAAACAAATAAAAAAACAAAAAATATAAATAGTTTCAACTAAACATAAACAAAAAGTTAACAGATATTTTACTAAATTCTCCAAACATAAAAAAATTGTTTACCAAAGTCTTAATTAAAATAGTTTTTTTATCTTAACATAAATAACAGGGGAGGAGGAGAGAAGAGAGAAGGGATTGGGAAAATCAAAAACATAACTCTTTCCCCCCAACCCTCTCTAACGTTGCCAAAAAAAAGCAGTATCCTTTAATAAACTTTGGGTTCTTCACTGCTATATTAAAGAAAGCAATTATCTCTGCTACTTAAAGCCTTTTTTTTCATACTGGTTATTATTTTGCTCTCATAATTAATTTCTTTACTTTAGACTAGCTTTACTATTTGTGCAGTTACTTTACTAATTGTTGGCATTCCTTAAAAAATATAATTTTTTTGTCTTGTTGAAATAATTTTTAAACGTAAAACAAGATATTTCATTAAATGAGGAAATGAAATATCTACCCCTTTACATATAGGCAATAAATTATAAATGCTATACATAGTAAAGGTTTTACCAAAAGTTTTTATACAATTCTAGACAAAATGCTTAAGTTTTTTAATTACTTTAACATAAAAAGATTTAATGCAGGTTACTATCTGGATACACCATAAAAATGGTCTAGTGTATATAAGAAACTGTCTGAATTTAGTGGTATTCTACCAATCAACTTCGAGCATTAATGGTGGCCTTCTAGCAATATTACTAGGAATGTAATTTTCTAAAATTGATATCTGTTATATAAGTGCTTGTGATAGCCTATTCATCGGAACTTTCCGGAAATAAATCAAGATTATTTTAACAAACCTGATCTATATTAAATTTAATACTAGTAGATACATTGTAGACTTATATTTCTGATGTTGCTTATCTGACTGGCAGCGAAAACTGTCATCTCTTTTTTTGCAAAATTCTTGTTCTTCATTTATCACTATCATTTTTTCTCAGGAATTTTCGATAATGTCTTTTTTACAAGAATAATATCCTGCATGACTAACAGTCCCATTTAACTAAACGATTAAATAGATAAAAACAGAGAAAAGTTTTAACTTTACCAGTGTTTACAACTGATTTTACTGTAATACCGGATAACTTTAAGCCATATAATTCTTTAAAAAAATTAATTAAAACACCTAAACTTAGTGGTTTTGTTTTCTCCTGTGGCACAAAAAGATCTTTCTATAACCTCTGAGTATAAAATAGTTTAAATAAGGGTAGTCTGTCAATATTATAACTAAGTGGTGATTCTTTTTCAGAACCTGTGGTGTTACTTTTAATACCTGATTCTAATCCAGAATAATAATATGAACTACTGCATTTTCTTAAAATCTGATCTTCTTGTGGTATTTTTAAAAGAGTTCTTGCATTTTTGAATAGAATATTTTCATGTCTTTGAAGCATACTGTGTAAACTGTTCATGGCTGTTTCGGCAACAGTTAAAGATTAGATACCAGGTCACTAAGTCTCCTGTTACGTTTTTTTGTACTGGTGGATATATCAAAAGATTTTCTGTTACAAAAACTACTTCATTAATACTTGACTCTAGTCTCATATTTTCCATTTCCATACTTCTATACATTGCATTCTTCCATAGGTAAGTGTCTTCCATAGGTAGACTCTCTAATTCCTTAAATAATATTTTTTTGATGCAAACATATTCTTAACCACTGCTTTTAACAAAATATAACTTAAACAAATTAAGACTATTAAAAAATAAATGTCTAAAAATATTCTTATAATTATTCAGATTTTAGTTATTCATTTTTTCATTTCTTTTCATTTCGTTACA